CAGGGGGACAGCTTGAGGCTCTGTCTCAAAAAAAAAAAAACAAAAAAAAAAAAAACAAAATAGTTTCTACATTATCTCTCATCAATGCTTAAAGCTCCAGAACCAGAAACAAAGCCTTGCATTCACAATTGGAGGTAAAGTATAACATGCAAATGTTTCTGACAAGGAAAGTATATTGGATTAAATTCTTACTAGCATGTAAATGACTGATGTGACTAGAGAGGAAATATTGATAAACAAAGACCTGGAAAGAGGTCATAAGTGCTAAAGGAAGCCAGGGCATGTCCAGAAGATGCCTTGGCTACTTCATAATTTTCCTGAGATTATCTTAAACCAGTCCCAAGATGAGACAGATTTAGACAGAAGGATGAAAACCTAGGGATTTAGAAGTCTACATCTCTTTTTTCTTCTCTAGCCCATTAGGGAAGAGAAAATAGGGAAGCTTGGTTCAGTTGTATTTTTGTGTATTTAGTATAGTTATTATAAAGTAATCAGAATTTTATAATGACTTTTAACTGTAATCACAAAATATACTGAACTACCCAAAAAGGCATATAAAGCATAAATTTAGCTTTTTCAAGACTTACAAATTTACTCATTATAATCATTCAACGTATTTTGTTTGTTTGTTTGTTTTTGAGACAGAGTCTCACTATGTCACCCTTGGTAGAGTGCTGTACTATCATAGCTCACAGCAACCTCAAACTCTTGGGCTCCCAAGTAGCTGGGACTACAGGCACCTGCCACAACGCCCAACTATTTTTCTGTTGCAGTTGTTACTGGTTTGAACTCGCCAAGGTCGGTGTATGTGGCTGCCACCGTAACCACTGTGCTATGGGTGCCAAGCTGCAATGTATTTTTTTAATTAGTAATATTAAAAAACAAAATTTCGACACACTTTTATTAAAGATTTGTGAATTGGGTAGCATCCTATCTAAACAAGGGATGAGCGCTCTGTAGAGCTGAGTAGAGGAGGGGGCTCTATAGGCAGAAAGGTGAAAACAGGGGAGATTTTTATTATCATTCTAGCTCAGGTAAATTGGGGGCCCTCTGATTGGCTGCTGTGAATTTCCTGGGTTTTGTTTTGTTTGGGTTTTTTAATTTTTTTATTTATTTGTTTTTATTTTTCAGACATAGTCTCAATATGTCACCCTCAGTAGAGTACCATGGTATCATAGCTCACAGCAACCTCAAACTCTTGGGCTTAAACAATTCTCTTGCCTCAGCCTCCCAAATAGCTGGGACTACAGGTGCCCGCCACAACACTTGGCTTTTCCTTTTTTTTTTTTTTTTTTTTGGTTGTAGTTGCCATTGTTGTTTAACAGGCTGGGGCTTGGCTTGAACCACCAGCCTTGCCACCCTTGGTGTATGTGGCCAGTGCCCTACTCTCTGAGCTGTGGGTGCTGAGACTATTTTGGGATTTTTTAAAAACTGTTTTAACGGCTCAGTGCCTGTGGCTCAAGCAGCTAAGGCGCAAGCCACATACACCTAAGGTGTCGCGTTGGAATCCAGCCCGGCCCGCCAAACAACAATGACGGCTGCAACCAAAAAATAGCTGGGCGTTGTGGTGGGTGCCTGTGGTCCCAGCTACTTGGGAGGCTGAGGCAGGAGACTTGCTTGAGCCCAGGAGTTGGAGGTTGCTGTGAGCTGCTGTGTTGCCATAGCAACTCTACCCAGGGGGAAAGCTTGAGGCTCTATTCAAAAAAAAAAAAAAAACTGTTTTAAATTTCTGATCAGCCAGTTTGATTGCTCAGAGTCCCTCCATTCTGGTTTGGCCTGGCCTGTGGGGGCCTAGTACAGGAGCTCAGTCTAGAACGATGGATTCATTCCCATACATTTTAACAGCAGGTCTACTTCCTGATTAAAACTATTCACTATTGCAGATTTATTCAGTGACCAACAAATCTCAATCTGGAGACTATCGTTCAAGGGGGGACCCTAAAATGGGGGGGACCCTAAAATGGGGGGGACCCTAAAATGAGGGGACCCTAAAATGAAAAAACAGAAACCTTAACTATAAATACCAAAGGAACAAAACTGATTCTGTGATGAGTATTCCCTGATTTCTCCCTTGCTGTTTCTGTACAACCCAGATCTCCACCTCCCACAAAAGGAGACTTTTTTTTTTTTTCTGCAGTTTTTGGCCAGGGCTGGGTTTGAACCTGCCATCTCCAGCATATGGGGCTAGCGCCCTACTCCTTTGAGTCACAGGTGCCGCCTAAAAGGAGACTTCTTTCCGAGTTCTTTTGGGGTGGATTATTAGGAGAATGAGTAGAGCGAAACCAGACCTGGCTAGGGCCAGGGGAACCGGCTCTTGAAACTGAATTGATCTGTAAAATAAAAAGCCAAAGGGAGGTGTGAGGTGTGAGGGGACAGAAGAGCCACTTGGAGACTTTGGCTTGATGGGAGTCTTGAGGGTGACAGAGGCTGTGACCACCTCTACAGAAGTTAATGTGGGGGGAACCAGGGAGGAGACTAGAGGAGTACTGGGAGCTTTAGACTGGGAGCTTTAGACACTTTTCTTTGAGAGACAAAATGAAGACTGAAATTCATTTTTAAACTACTTTTAAGCAGTGATGTGTGAGCCAGTAGAGACGGAGCTATGTGGGGACCCAGTATGATTATGATTACAAAGCATTTTCATGGGATATTGCCACTGCCACAAATCAGAGGTAATACAAAATGTCTACGAGGAGGGGATCAGCTAAACCAACTACGACATATCAACACAACAAGGGAACGTACGTACCATGGATTAACAGGGGGCTTGGGAATAAGCCTGTTGGTAGTCTCACTCCCAGTATTCTATATTTCTTTTACTCATGAGAAATAGTTTAGCCTCAGTTTTTTCACTTCTACATTAAGAATGTAATTATTTCTACATCGTAGGGTGGTTGCGAGGATTAAACACAACAATGCACGTATAAAATTCCTAACAGAATGCATGACTCACTGTCAACATGGCAGCTTTAGTATAAAACGCCATAGTGATGCTAAAAATAACATGGATGTGGGATAAATTGATATAAAAAAGATAGATGCCTAAAATTACTGTGTTTGTACATTGACAAGGATGGGAAGTTCATTTAGAATAACTGAGGTTAGTTCACCTTTTTTTTTTTTTGCAGTTTTTGGACAGGGCTGGGTTTGAACCCACCACCTCTGGTACATGGGATGGGGGCCCTACCTGTTGAGCCATAGGCAGCACCTTATTCATTGAGCCCCAGGCGCCATCCAGTTAGCTCATCTATTTTCCTGATGTTCACAAAAGAGCTCAGATTACAGAGTGAGCAGTTTAGTAAATATAAAAGAACATTAGGCTTATAATATACTCAAGAAATCTATAAAAGAAAGCATAAAAACACTTTCTCTAAAGATTAAAAAGATAATTACACGAGTTTCTCATTTATTTCCCGGGAGTACAATGGTCAAAGGTAATTTATGTTTGGCTTTGATAGGTGTTCTTTACCTCAAGGGATTTTCCTTTCTAACTGTGTTTCTTTAGGTTAATAGAAAACTAATTTATATTCCTTGAACTCCTATCAGTTGAAGAAGATGGGTAAATGACTGGAAGAATGCTTAACAGCAGGCGAAAATCCCGTTGGAATTTAGAAGATGCCAGGAATAATCCAAAACGTAGATAATCCGCAGGGGCTGTCACTGTCTCCTGTGTCACCTCTCTAGGAAAAATAAATCATAACACAGCAGCCATAGAGTCAAGGGGTGGGATTGGGGAGCGGTCAGAAACTGTATTCCTATCCCAGTATCACGAATGGTACCTAATTTCGCAATTCCTTCTTGAAAGGATGCCTTTTTATAGGGATTTCTCTATTCACATTGACCTATTTTTACTTTTTTTTTTTTTTTTATTGTTTGGGATTCATTGAGGGTAAAAAGAATTAGGTTGGGGGGGGCACCTATGCCTCAAAGGAGTAGGATGCTGGCCGCATATGCCCGAGGTGGCGGGTTCAAACCCAGCCCCAGGGAAAACTGCTAAAAAAAAAAAAAAAAAAAAAAGAATTAGGTTACACTGATTGCATTTTTTGTTTGTTTGTTTGTTTGTTTTTTTGAGACAGAGCCTCAAGCTGTCCCCCTGGGTAGAGTGTCGTGGCATCACAGCTCACAGCAACCTCCAACTCCTGGGCTCAAGCGAGTCTCCTGCCTCTGCCTCCCAAGTAGCTGGGACCACAGGCGCCCATCACAGCACCTAGTTATTTTTATTTTTTGGGTGCATGATTGTTGTTTGGCGGCCCGGGCTGGATATGAACCCGCCACCTTAGGTGTATGTGGCTGGCACCTTAGCCACTTGAGCCACAGGCGCTGAGCCCACTGATTGCATTTGTTAGGTAAAGTCCCTCTTATAATTGTGTCCCACCCCCAAGAGGTGTGCCATAGACCGTGACCCCCATACCCCCTCCTCTCCCTGCAGGCACCTTGATCTTGGACTTCTCAGCCTCCAGAACTGTGAGGAACAAATGTCTATTGTTGATAAGCCACAACGCCCAGATTTTTTTTTTTTTTTTTTTGGCCGGGGCTGGATTTGAACCCTCCGTCTCCGGCATATGGGGCTGGCGCCCTACCCTATGAGCCACAGGCTCTGCCCAAGTCTACAGTTTTTGTTACAGTAGCCTGAACAGAAAGAAACATTTAACAACATAACACAGAAATAGGTATATTTTAAATGTTTACCCATTTTCCAAGTAAGGCTCTTCTTTCTTCAAATATCTATAAAAAGTAAAAAAAAATAGAGTGATTTTATACGTCATAGTTCAAAATACCCATTACAAGAAAGATATCCTTAGGGAAATGGTGGATAAATATTCATTATATCAGGTTCAGCGCTTGTGGCTCAAGTGGCTAAGGTGCCAGCCACATACACCTAAGGTGGTGGGTATGAATCCACCCCAGGCCCACCAAAACAACAATGACGGCTGCAACCAAAAAATAGCCAGGTGTTGTGGCAGGTACCTGTGGTCCCAGCTACTTGGGAGGCTGAGGCAGGAGACTCGCTTGAGCCCAGGAGTTGGAGGTTGCTGTGAGCTGTGATGTC